TTGTTGTTGTTTTATTGTTGTATTTTGGGCTCGGCCTCGTGTAAGCCGCACCGAGTCTTTCAAGAGATGGTAGCGGGGTACAAATAAAGGTTTATTATTATTATTATTATTATTATTATTATTATTATTATTATTATTAAAAATGAAGATAAAATAATCTTACTTGGAAGACCTTAAATAACAGTTTAAAAAACCAGTGAATAATGCAAACACATAAATGTCTACTCAAAAATATAACTCAATTAATACCACAGGGTTTATAATAGGGTTGTACACATCAAAGTGTAGCCTAAGATTCATTCAGTACACACTTTGCTGTTAATAAATCTCATTTTTTTAGGATTTAGAACTACATTATAACCTGTTCATGATACCAAGGATTTCTATAGAAATGCATTATAAGCTGTTCATGATAATAAGAGCCCTAAGATCATCTGGGGAGACTCTCCTCTCACTTCCACCTCTGTTTCAGCCACGGTTGGTGGGGATGAGGAAGAGGGCCTTCTCAGTGGTGCCCCCTTCCAGCTCTGGAATGCCCTCCCTAGGGAGATCAGACTGTCACCTACCTTGTCCTCTTTCCACAAGAACCTAAAAACATGGATGTTCCATTGTGCCTTTGATTAGGCAGTTCCAAAGAATTGGAATTCCAGCACTTTAGCATGGCCCTCCACTCTACAATCCTGACATTATAAAGCCCAAGCTCATTACTCTCCTATCCCTGCCACTGAATTTTTCCACTTTTCCTTAGCTCTATCTAGGAATTTTGCACAAACTCAGAAACCTCAGAACTCAGCACTTTTTTTGCTCCCATGGTACTGTTTTCATGATGTTATATTTTATTGTGATATGTTTCTATTTGGTTTTGTTTTGTTTTGATTTTGTTGCATTATGTTTTAACCCTGTGCTCTTTGGGCTTATCCCTCTGTAAGCTGCCCCGAGTACCTTCAGGGAGTATAAAAATAAAGTTGTTGTTATTATTATTATTAGGCTTTTTTTTTTTTGCAAGGATTGTGTCTTCAAGTCACTCACAAACCTATGGCCAACTCATTGATTTTGTAGGGTTTTCTTAGGTGAGAAATGAATAAAGGTCATTTTGTCAGTTCTTTCCTCTAAATAAATCACACCGGACCTGGTATTCATTGGCAGCCTCCCATTCAAATACTAACCAGATCTGACCTTGCTTAGCTTCCAAATTCAGCTGGGATCCAGTGCCTTTTGGATACCTAAGTCCTTTACATGGTTCCCCATGAAGAAAATATTTTAATGTAATGGCAAATGAAAGTTTAAAACCACCATCTACATTCAACAAAACTAGTTTTAATTTCTGAAGACAGCACTGTTCAATCAAAGTAAATATCACAACCCAAAATCTGTCACTGATTCTCAAATGTATCAATGAACCTATGTGATCTTGGTAAATTCAAAAAAAAGTTGTTCCATTGAAATAACTGAAATATGTCTCTTCAGTACAATAATAAAACACTGGCAGAGTTTCAATACATATGGAATGTATCCACAGCCTAATGGATTCTTCTGCTGGCCGAAAAAGAAAATACTTAAAAGGTCATCCACAATAAAAAAAAATCAGATTCATATCCAACACAGATTTCCTCATATATGAAAGCCATCACATTTATCAATCTTAAAATAAGCCTGTTGGCATCACAATAGTCTGTATTTTGCAATTCTTCTGAAACTTTAAAAACCTGGTGTAATTAATGAGTAACAAGGTTTTCTTTTCTAAATGCAGAACTTACCACAAAACTTTAGAACAGAAAAAAGAAAATCAATTCTAAGAGTAATTCACAAATGCATTTTTTCATGTAAAGAAAAGATGGAAGATACAGTAAATGCTTAAACACATGGAGATGGCTTAACCTGAAAAAGTCCACTGTCTAAAAAGAAAAAAAGGTTGGGGGAGAGATAAACTACATCGAAGTGTGTGAAATTAATAAAACACCATGCATTTTACTGAAAAGTGGACATTTTTGAGGTTTCAGTGATTAGGTACACTTCCTACCCTGGCAAAATCCATCTACAATTAAAGAAGCAGAGAACTAGCAAGGGAAGTACCCATGAAACAAAATCCCTTATATTCAGAGCTGTGTGATTTTCTTTACTGATCTTACACGGTTTTTATTTCCTATCTTTTGCTTTCTAAGGACACAAATATTTAATATGTATGAGTAACTCAATTTGTCAAAATGATCACACTTCAGCTTAACCACGGTAAAAGAAGAAACTTTACTATCCCAAAGGAAACTATAATTTAAAAACGGAAGCACACAAAATATATGTTAGTTTTCAAGCAATCAATTGGAGAGAACTCAGTGGATATTTAACAGAACATTGGCATAAAACATCAGTTCTTGCATTTCTTCATATGTTAGTTCATTAATTTCATAGACTAGTGAGAGAAAGGAGGAGGAGGAAGAAAAGGAACCTGGCCAAAGATGACAAGTATTGTCCATTTGGATCCAGAATGAGGTTGCTGTTCCAAAAAGAATTTAGTAAAGAGTGAAACAGTGAATCTGGTTTCGGTAATGAACTCAGAGTGTGAAATCCAACCATTTGTTTTGAATATTGCTGTGTGGTCTGTAATATTACATGTAAAGCTGTGGTGTAAAATTAAAACTGCTCATTACTATAAATACTGCTGTACATTTATCAGAAGGGAGTCTTTCTAAATCAGTTTTCGCATGCACACACAATCTTAATAATGGGATTACTACTTTCAACAAGTAGTAATGTTATTTCAATTTCAATTGATTGTTTGCAGTTAGTTCCACTTAGACAATTAGTTGATCCGTTCCTCAGCTTTCGCATAGATTACAACATATTGTCTAATCTCTAAGCCTTCAACAATACATATTCTCTAATCACCTCCATTCATATCTATTTCAAGCACGGGTTGACAAGTGTACCATTGCACAAACATGTCTGTCTCTCACATTAAACGCCATGCAGAATAAATCAGACCATTGGATGAGAGGACAACCAAGAGGTCTTGTTCAACCTCACAGGTACCATGTTGTTGTGGCATTGCTCCAACACCCATCTGTTCTTTGCATCACATGGCAAGCAAAGTGATGTTTGAGTTGGGCAATGTGATATAGAGGATCTTTCACTTTTGATATTTTTCAAACAATTAATTACAGCTACTGAAAATATATCACCTCTACCACTGCAACAATTAAACTCAATCAAGTATGAACTGCAGGGTCAGTGAATGAAGAAAAACAAAGATGTTTTTTGTTTTCCATAAAGCTCTACGGAGAAGCAAATCTAGGGAGTATGTGGCATGGTAAGGAAACAAGAGAAAATGTGAGGGAAAGGAGAAAAAGTTTGACAAAACAAAAGTGGGGAGACAACTAAAGAATAAAGACAGGTGGACCTTTCAAATCTGTTTTTAGATTGCTGCCCCAAATTTCCTAGAAAAAAATTCAAAAGGTTCAGAATTATATCACTTCCTGTTACTCCATCACTTCATATGCCCATTTCTACCATATCCTGCTTATTACTACACACAAATCCAAATAAACAGATCTACAACAAAACTACTAATAATTATACCAAAAAGTAATAGCATCATCAAAATCCATCTGATTGTAAGAAATTTGTGAAATTATGATGCAACCCATCACAAATAATTTCTAATCCAACACAGCAATGAAACAAGAGGATCCCTTGGTTATTCCTCCCACTGGTTCACCGTAGGTTAATCAATTTTATTCAACTAGCTACTATTTCATTGTTTGGGTCAAAGCAAAGTTTTTGCTGCTTCCAATCTGATGTGCATGAGAAAGGTAATTTAATAGTCACAAGGATGGAGCTCTTATAGGGCTGAGCAAAAATCACTCTCCCCCACCACTTCTCTCCAACATTAGCAAGTGGTAGGGAGAAGATTTCAATTTACTTTCCAGGCAAACTGAAAATCTCAAGATAATTGGGAGGGGGTCAATAATAGTGACAAAAAACTCCTGTATGTACTAATTTTCTCTTGTTTTCGTGTGCCTTCATGTCATGTCTGACTTACAGCAACCCTAAGGTTGCTAAGAACATTATGGGATGTTCTTAACATTGTTTCAGAAGTGGTTTGCCATTGTCTTTCTCGGCGGCTAAATGACTGTGACTTGTCCAAGGTCATCTAGTGTGTTTCTATGGCTGAATAGGCATTCAAACCCTAGTCTCCAGAGTCACAGTCCAATGCTCAAAACCACTGCAACATACTGGCCTCTCAAATTACACTAGCAATTGTCCAAGGAATATCTTACCATCACAAATCTGCAGAATTTACCAACACAGAATTTTAATTTCTTTCTCCTTCTCCCATTTTCCCCTTTTGTCCTAAGTTTACTTCAATTGTTACAAACTGAGTTCAATATGTAAAAGTAGTTTGTACTCATCTCAGCAGAAGGGAACAGATAGTAGTGGAACAGAATATTAACATTCTTAGTAGACGCAGACAACAGCAAACTCAGAGGAAGAATAGACCTTTGTCATCTTGACCACAGTCTGATGTTGCTCCTTCTATCTGCATTCTGACTGAAATAATACATCTGGGTCTTGCAGAATATGAATAGAAACATTTGAATGCGATATAGCATGAAAATGTTAGTGCTAAAAGGATTTTCAGAATACAATTTGGAATTTACAGTAATATACAGCTATATAAAGAGCTGAAGGACATATTGATCTTCATGCAAATATGGCAATACAACTTCTAAAATTACTAACTTGTTCCAATTGCTAGACCAGGTACAGCAGTGCAATTCAGTCCCGGGCACTCTCAGCATATCTCAAAAGAAGTCAGTAGGAGAAAAGTTTGTCCATACCTTCATGGCTACTTACCTTGTTAAAAGTCAAAACATTTTCCAGCCAAAGAAAAGGCTTCTGTCCAATCATCAAGTTTGCCATTACATGTGTTTGGATTTTCAACACTGCCCTTGCAGGATGTTCAGACAGATTAAAAAGTATTTTTCAAGCAAAAGTATGCTCACCTGCAAATGCTGAGAGTTATCTGTCATATTATCTTCACGTCTACGGACTTCTTCTAACAATTGGGCATTCTTCTTCTTTTCCATTTGTTGATTGTGCTTCAGGTTGGCCACTTTCTTGTTTTGATCCTTCATATGTCTAAGAATTGTATGTATATTCCTGTTAATTCTAATAGTTCTTTGTAACAACGCAAACATGTAAATAATGACAAAAATAATTTCCTTTGTAACAATGTAAGAATACAAACATATAAATAGAGAAATCATTTCCTTTTCATCAGGCAAATTGATCTAGCATTTTTCAAAACCCGAGGCAATACTGGTTTGAAAAGCCAGTAAGTTACATATAAAATGTAACTCTGGATGACACAAATTGCATTCATTTCTTTAAATAGTTCAGAATATATGTCTCACATAATGTAGATATATGAAAAAATGAAAAATATGTCACAATTTTATGCAAGTTTGATATAATAATTGCTTCCTTACTAGGGTTTTGTACAAAAACTTCAACTTCCAAATTTCTCTGTCTACACTTTTAAAATGTTATCAGATAGAACTGTGGTATTCAATGCAAACTATTTCTGTCTTCTTAACCCCTCTGTGTTGCATCATATACATGGATTATGGGCTTATTCTGATGAACCAGTTAATGAAACTCCAAATAAAAGGAAATAATTCACAGATATTTTTATCCACAGATTTTTATCTACATTTTAAAGCAAATTTTATATATTCTTTTAAAATAAACTATTACTATAGTAACACTCTCAACCGGAAAAACCCCATATTATTCATTAGAACAGTCCAAGCTTTAAGAAAGATCTATTTTTCAATTATTTGGTGTTATAAAGCAAGCCAATGTCATGAAAGACTAATGTTAAAACGCAGTTTCTACCTGCTTGGTCTCCTCGATATTAATTTAGTTGACTCTCTCGTGATTCTGAGGAATTTCTCTCTTTTTATCTATATAATAATAATCATGTGCAAATTCCAAATAGGATCTATATACTAATCCCTTTTAGGCAAGGGATATTTTCTAATGCCCATATGATCACTGGAAATTTTCCAGTTTCTTCTGCAATACATGTTGCGGTGAAAGAAAACTCAGATACACCAAGCTAGATTGGTTAGTCATACCTAAAGTAGGCCCAGTGAAATAACTGGAATTTAAAATAATCACAGGAAATGTAAGTCCCACTGAATTCAACAATTGCTTTAAGTATGACTTAAATATTAACTAGATATTGGTATGATGTATCAACTGGTCTATTTTCTTATATCCCCCAAATAAGGTGTAAATAGCATTTTCATTATTGTGAATATTCACTAAGTGAAAGAATTAGTAACTCTAGAAACAGGTAGCACATAGCAAAGCTTCAGAGAATGGTAGTTAGGCATCATTAAATGGGATTTGTTTAACTGGACCTACTATGACAGCAGTTCGGATTTTTTAATGATGCATTATTTATTTTATCTTATTTATTATTACCATTACTATTATTGTTGTTATATGAAAGTGCATAGCATTTATAATGAAGTATAAGCTCTATAAAAATCCAGTCGTAAACAATCTTTAAAAAATTCATATTAATATATGACTGCCTAAGATTGCAAACTAGTTGTTACTGCCATATCTACAATCAATTGCACATTATGTAATCAAAAACAGCATCTTTTTTAATATAAGAGGACGTTTCCATTAAGTAAAATGAATAGAGAAGGGCAGAATAGAAATACTGTAAATAAATAAACTTTAAAATAATGACTTTTCTTCTTACTCAACATGATTAATTCACTAAAAACCTGCAAATTCATTTTGGGAATTTTAAAAACCTCTCTCTTTTGGCACCTTCATTATGTCACAATCTTTTTAAAACCTATTCATGAATTATGTTAAACTATTAAACACATAAGTAATTCTGATACAATTTTCTTTTTGTCTTCTTCCCATTTCTAATGTACTAAGAAATGTAGTGAAAGATTGCATCCTAGACGCAGACATATTCTGTCCCACAATGACATAGGCTCTTCTAGCCAATGGGTCACAGACCGCATTACACTGACCATTTAATACAGTTCAAAGTTAGCTTCAAACTGCAGCAGCCAGGCAACAAACTCCCATAAAAGGGCACTAAAGAAAGTTGTTAATATGCACTAGTGCTCATTGGTTTGTGTAACCATAATCCAAGCCTCAAATTGGTTTCAAGATTTCCTATGTAATTCCATTTCCTTACATAACAGCTTGAAACTGCATTAAATGGTCAGTACAGATGGCACCTCAATTTCATGCTTTGTTGAAAAATACCAAGATGTGAAGCATTATGATCTATTAAGTATGGCACAAAAGTACGTGAATTTAAAAAGAGATTGGAAGCAACTTTTAAAAGTAGTTACAATTACCTTCCCATTACTACCACACCATTCAAATTTCACAAAATCAAAATGTTCAATTTCTCAGTATTAAAAAACAAAAATAGTTACACTTAGTTGCCTTTTTTAAATAATCTGATATTATGAACTGTGGCAAACAAACAAAAAGAACCCCTAAATGAGTCCACACACTCCTTGTAACTATGATATGGTTCCAGTTATTCATCTCAGATGGAATATTCCTACTGAATCAATAGGCAGTAAACCAAAATTTCCACTGATGTAAGTTACACTGATTCAAAGTGTCTACTCTACTTGGAATAAAAAATTGAATTCAAATCTATACAATTTACCAAAACAATAGAATAAACAGTTACAGTTACAGTTATGCAACACAAGGGGGTACTGCCTCTTCTTACGTTACAATCGTAATTATGCCAAAATTCCTTCAAAAAGGGTTACAAGAAGCATTACTGGCAGCCACTTGCATCTCAATTCTGTTCTGTCTCAGCTAAAACTTCATTTGTGTCACTATGATGAAAGGTACAGTACTGAAAACGATGGCACCAGTCATCCAAAAAGTATGAAATGTCAAAAGAAATGCAATACACATGAGAAATACTACCAGTAGTATGCCAGCAGAATCCATCATGTCAGAATTAAATCTTCTAATTCATCTTTCCATGGATGAACAAATAAAATCAAATGTTTTCTACTTTCCAGGCAAAACTGCATGTATTTTTATGTATTTCAGATGATTTGCACTTTGAATTTTTTGTTTATTTTTTTGAAAAAAAATGTTTCTACAAAAATGCTTCATTTTGTATAGACATGTACTGGTATATTTTGGGCAAAAAACCCTTTTTATTCAATATATCTCCTTCTCCCTCTCAAAGTCTCTAAATGTGGAAGATGTAACATTTTCTTAACAATGCATCTGAATGATGCTGCAAATCCTTTCTTACCAAGGATGGGAAAACATTATTATTCACATTCCTACTGACATCTGCTTTTTTAGGCCACTCTTTTCTGATGTTCCCCTGAGCATCATGATGACTTGGGGAAATTTCTAGATGTCTACAATTCCCCAAAATTCTGCTATGTCTGGATTGTTCTGGAACACTACGGGAGATTGAAATGTTTGGCTCTAAGCCGCACAGCAAATAAATAAACACTTTGTACTGCTTTTATTATGTTTTTAAATTATATTTTAATTTTCCACTGTAATGATCAGTTTTAAACACCATTAATTAACGAATTTCTTCTTAAATGTTTGCAATTTAATCTTTAAACTTGTTTTTTTAGTGAGAATCATAGAATCATAGAGTTGAATGAGACCGCAAGGGCCATTCAGTCCAACCCCATTCTGCCATGCAGAAAAACAACCCAGACAGATGGCTATGCAGCCTCTGCTTAAAAATCTCCAAAGACGGAGACCCTACCACATTCAAAAGCATCCTATTCTACTGCTGAACCACTCTTACTGTCGGGAAATTCTTCCTAATTTTAAGTGAAATCTCTTTTCCTGCCATTTAAATCCATTCCTGCATGTCCTAGTCTCCAGAACAGCTGAAAACAAACTTGCCCCCTTACTCACTGTGACAGTCTTTCAAAGGATGGCTCTCATGTCCCCTCTCAACTTTCTTTGATCCAAGTTGAACATACCCAGCTGTGAGTTGTTCCTTATAGGCTTCCAAACATTTTATCATTTTAATTATTTTACTCCTCTGTGCAATATCCTTCTTGAACTCCGGAGCCCAGAACTGGACACAGTATCCCAGATGTGGTGTGACCAAAGAAAAGCAGAGTGGGACCATGACTTCCCTCACTCTTGACACTATACTCCTATTGAGGCTGCCTAGAATCCCATTGGCTTTTTAACTGTCACATCACACTGTTGACTCATGTTCATCTTGTGGTTCACTAAGACGCCAAGGTCCCTTTCACATGGATTGTTTTCAAGCCAGATGTCAATCATTCCATATCTATGCATTTCATTTTTATCGCCAAAGTGTAGTACCGTACATTTTTCCATGCTGTTATTCATTTTATTAGTTTTGGACCAGTTCTCTAATCTGTTTAGGTCATTTTAGATTCTGATCCTGTCCTCCCAATTTGGAGTCATCTGTAAATTCTAATCTGTCATCCAAGTCAATTTTCCAAGATGTTGAATAGCACTGCACAGACCCCTGCAGTAGCCCACTGGTCACTTCTCTCCAGCATGAGGAGCAGCCATTGGAATGCACCCTTTGGGTTTAGTCAGTCAAACAATTCGCAATCTATTATTTATTTATTTATTTATTTATTTCGAGGTTTTATATACCGACCCTCTCACCTTCAAAGAGGGATTCGGACCGGTTCACAACATGTGTTAACATACAAAAAATATACAATAACAACACAATGCCATTTCATTACACGGTTAAAATATCAGCACTATACACGTTAAAACATTATCATCACAGTTAAAAGAGCCAAATCGTCCAACACCATCACAATCCCATTCATCATCCTCCTTTCATGTGGGCAAAGAATTAAATCAGTTGTCAAATGCCGTTCCACAACCAGGTCTTTGTTAGTTTCCTGAACGTCATGAGGGAGGGGGCAGTTCTGATCTCTAATGGCAGGAAGTTCCAAAGTCGAGGGGCCACCATCGAGAAGGCCCTGTCCCTCGTCCCCACCAGCCGTGCTTGTGCAGGCGGAGGGACCGAGAGCAGGTCTACCTACATTACTGTAGCGTTCTTGGATCTCACTGAGAGAGAATGA